AAGCGGCCCGCGGCGACTCTTCCGGCTTCTGGAGGCCCGGACGTCCGGACCTCGCCGTCGGTCTCGCGCGCTGTTGGAAGGGTGGTGGGAAGTGAGTGGGACATCCGGGGCCTGAACGTCGCTGTCGTGGGGTTGCCAGGTTTCCCCCCCCCTAGCCACTGGCAGGGGATGAGGGTGTAGCGTTGCCAGCTCCAGGTTGGGAAATTCCTGGAGATTAGGGGGTGGAGCCTGGGGAGGACAGAGACCTCAGTGGGGCACAATGCCACAGAGTCCACCATCCTCCAAAGCATCTATGTTCCCCAGTGGAACTGATCTCTGTAGTCTGGAGATGAGCTGTAATTCCAGGGGATTTCCAGGTCCCACCTGGAGGCTGGCATCCGTCGCCTCAAGGAACATCCTGTGAGTGGTTGAGCCAATCACAGCCGTGGGGGTGGTGGCCTGGCAACGCTCCGAATCTGGGAGGGTGGGTCCGAGACAGGGCTTTCACATCGGACCTGCGAGGTTCTCCAGTGATATCCTGGATGTGAGTGGAAGTGAAGAGGAGTTCGCAACGAACCTGCAGTGCAGGCCCGGAGCCAGGATTTTGTGGCTTGTGGGGCAGATTTTTTTCTGGTGGGGCTGAAGTTGTCAGCACGGAAAGAAAAGCCCAGGATCTTGGGATTATGACTCAGCTAGTGTGGAATCAAGCCTTTTAAAATCAAAGCAGAGAGCCTTCTGCAGATCTTAGCCCCAGACTGTGACAATAGGAGGCTGAGAAGGGGAGGGGGGAAGAGATACATTTTTCTGGTCGATGGTAGGCATGGCACTGGAAATACTTATCTGGGTTTGGCCAGTAAACTCACTCCAATTTGTAGAAAAGGTAAAGGTTCCCTTGCAGAAAAGCCAGTTGAATCTGACTCTAGGGTTGCGGTGCTCATCTCCCGTATCAAAGCTGAAGAGCCAGCGCTGTCCGAAGATGTTTCCGTGGTCATGTGGCCAGCATGACTAAACACCAAGGCGCACGGAACGCTGTTACCTTCCCACCTAAGTGGTAGCTATTTATCTACTTGCAATTTCTTGCTTTCGAACTGCTAGGTTGGCAGGAACTGGAACTAGACATATTTGTATAACGACACACAAAAAATTATTTACAAAAACAAAGGACAAACAACAGATAGATAGGGGAAAGAATGTATATAGTTCAGTAAGGAATGCAAACCAAAAGGAAAAAACCTAGCTGGCTATTCTACTCACTACTTTTCCTTTCAGGTACAGCCTTTCATAGCTCTGGGATCTCGACTGGCATTCCTAGTGAGCAGATTTTCTGGAAGCGTAGCAGCGGGGTGGAAGTTGAAGAGAGCTTCAAGGCAGTCTCTCTCTGAGTCTTCTCAAGCTGTCTATTCTGCACAGGTGTTCTTAACCATTTAGTCAATACAAAGCTGTTACCAGGATAGATCTCTAAATTGCAAGCTGTCAACCAGTTTAGATGGAAGTTCTCAGCTGCTGCATGTTAATCACTCCTACCAGCCTAAACAACAATTCTGATAACAAGCCAGCAGGTGGGGGTGATGACTTCTATAGCCCAGAAAGCTAATACTTAGGCAGAAAAACTCTCTTAAAGGAGACCAGTTTCTTGACACAGAAGGGATCCTAGAGGTCACCTACTCCAATGCCCTTGCTCAGTGCAGGAAGGAGTGCGTGCCTTTAAAAATGTTTTTAAATGTTTGAAAAAAGCATTTACAGTTAGTATAAATGGCAGTGGAGATATTGGATAACCTTGCCTTGTTCCTTTTTCAAAAGATATTACCAGTCAGTTCATTGTTTACTACTACTTTCACTTTCTGCCTTGTATATATAGCTTCAATCGCCCTTGTAAAGTTAGTCCCGAAGTTCATTGTTAAATGCTTTTTCAGCGTCCAAAAATATCAAAGCCATCTGCTTTTTTGGATGAGTTTCATAATCTTCTAAGATATTTAAGGCTGTTCTCACATTATTCTTTAATTGTCTCTTAGGTAAGAAACCTGCCTGGTCCTGATGTATAAAGTCTATTAACACTTTTTTCAACCTTGTGGCCAAAATACTTGCAAATATTTTATAATCACAATTCAGCAAGGAAATAGGTCTGTAGTTTTTTAAATCTCTTTAAGGTCTGTCTCTTCTTTATGAATCAGTCATGATATAGTTGCTTCAGCCCAATATTCTGGTTTTTCTGTTACAGATGAAATTACAGTTTTATATGGGAGCCAATGTTCCCTCTAAGCTGTGGAGTCTTGTGAGCAAACATTCTACTTTGTGAGCTACCGGCATGAAAGCTGTGAGCAAGCGATTTGGCTGCTGCATACATTAGTTTGCTCTGGAGCTATTCTTCCTGAGCCAAGGCAAAAATGTGTGAGCCAGAGGCTAGCTAGCTCACACTAACTCAGCTTAGTGGGAACCCTGATGGGAGCAATGAAACATCTTCAAATATTTTATAATATTCAGCTGGGAGTTCATCCGGTCCAGGTGCTTTATTTATATATTGTTTCTTAATAGCCTCTGTAATTTCCATCATTGTTATGGGATTGCCAGTCCTCTAAAAAAGGCTTTGCTTGCATCCCAAATTATTCTGGTCATATTTTGTTGGGAAAACATATTCATTTATTTCTTTGCAAAGGAAATCCAGACTTTTTATTTTATATTCCAACCAAATCAAGTCCAGCAGCACACAGTTGATGGCATACAAATCACTTTGCTCCCCAGTGGGGTGGATCTCCTGTAGGGAGGTAGATAAGGCAGATAGAGGCTATAGTCCCCTGTAAGATGGGCACGTTTTCCGATTAACGCCCCAGCACAATACTTAGTGGATCTGACCTCCCCACAGCTGCGTAGAGCATTTATGCTGGCCCAATTTAATGCGCTCCCCTCTGCGGTTTTAGCAGGAAGATTTAAGAAAATCCCCTACTCTGTAAGGTTCTGTGATTGTGATTCAGAGGAGATTGAAACAATCGAATATGCGCTCCTCTATTGTAGTTTGTATGATGACACTCGGGAAGCCTATCTAGAAGATATTCTTAAGAATGATGCCAAGCAATCCGATGACATAAGGTTGTATCGTTTATTGGCTTCACAAAATATAGCAGTTATTGAAGTGGTTGCCAAGTTCTGTAACTGCCTTATAATGAGGAAGCTGTGTGTCAAATCCATGAACTGAATGGCGACTGTTTGAATATGATCTATGCCAATAAAGGTTTTGAACTAGAGGCTATAGACTACACACAGATACTCTTTCTTTGCGAGAGGCCATTACATTTATAAGACAGATATGATTTACCCCTTACCTACCCGGGACAAAGCCTATGTGTGTCGAGTGCAATATTTCAGCCAAGCAGGCTCTCAGACACTGGCCTAGGATGGTGGAAAGGATTTTAACATCTGAATTTGTTAGTGAAACAGGCCTCTGTAGCTTGCACATGCAAGAGAGATCTTTTCCAGGCCTTAAGAACAGTGAAATTATCAGCTTCATGCATTGTTTATGGAAAAGAAATCAAGCCCTCTCTGTTTTTAAATACACTAAATAATATAGGAGATCGATCATAACACAAATATTTCATACCAGTCAGCTGGGTAACCATCAGGCCCAGGAGATTTATTTAGTTGCAGACCCACGGCAAAAATGTGGACTTGCTGAATTCTTTAAATATCTGTCATTGATCAGGGACAAGCATCTGCTGGACATTGGGGCATAGCTGCCTGCCTAGTCACTTTTCTGAGAGAAAGCCCCCCACTGAATAGACTAGTACAGGGGGGTACCCAGTGTGACGCAGTGTGGTGGGTGTTATGTATTGTCCTTGATACATACAGTGAGTTGAGCTTCAGTCCACAGCTCCATAGAGGCCTGGTATCCTAAAGTGCACATGCTGATTGGCTACTTTGCACAGGGGGCCAGTCAGAGCTTAGGGGTGGTTTTGGATGGAGCAACAACTATTGGTTGTTATCTATAGGTTATGATTGGCGTTTAACAACCTAGGGGGCATGGTTTGCCCAACCAAAAGAGTATAAGTTGAACTACTTACGGCATTGAGTTTGTTGTTGATTGTTATAGTTAATAAAACTGAATCACTTGTTAAGAGCTGCCTCCAGTCTGATATTTTATAGTGGGCACGGCCACAAAGCGGTCGCTTCAGGAGTCGGAGCCAGTCACAAAATGGCTGCCTCCTCGATATAGAGGTGCAAGATCTGAGAAGACTTGCGCACAGACATTGCTCTCCCTTGAGTATGGGACTCTCTTCCAGCCACATTTCCTCAGGATACCTGGCAAGACTGATTCAGCCCCATCTTCGTAGGGCTTTCATGCGAGCTCGGTTCGACATCCTGCCCTCAGCTGTTTTATCGAGAAGGTTCAAGAAAATTCCATACAAAGATGGATTGTGCCCATGGAGGAAATTGAATCTATTGGACATGTGCTTCTGCAATGTAAATTCCACTATGACATCCGTGTTGCTTATATTGAACCTGTGATGGACCCCCTTTTGGGCCAATCTGATGAGTATAAAATTAGTTCTTTATTGTCTTTGCACAATATAGAAATTCCTGAACCTGTAGCAAATTTCTTTTATGAGGTATCTAGGAGGAGAGGCTCATATTAAGGCAATTTGGAATGTGATACCCCCCCCTCCCGGCCTATCTTGAGGCTCTATGCTGCACGTTGTATTTGATATTTTATGCCAATAAAGGTATTGTATTTGTATAGGTTATGATTGGTGTTTAACAACCTCGGGGGCGTGGTTTGCCCGACCGAAAGAGTATAAGTTGAGCTACTTACAGCATTTGTTGTTGATTGTTATAGTTAATAAAACTGAATCACTTGTTAAGAGCTGCCTCCAGTCTGATATTTTATAGTGGGCTTCAGGAGTCGGAGGCAGTCACAAAATGGCTGCCACGGCTTGCCCTCAGTCACACC